TTCTTGTTGATCCCATATTGTGTAACTAGTCTGTCAAACGAAATAAAGTCTGTTCCTTCCCACATATGTTCCAAGTATTTAATTCCTTTGCAACTCCAATCTGGAAAGTTTATCATATTATTGTTTTGTAATATGTCCGGATTGTTCCAGATAGGTGTACGTTTGCATGGGATTAATGAAGACTCTGTCAGTTTTTCTTTATAGACACCCAGGTTAAACTTAGAGCAGCTCCTTGTGTTTTTTCATTAGCTGTGTAAAGAGCATTGGCGCGAATGCTGCGATGAAGGAACACAAACAGCGAGCCTGAAAGACTCTTTTCAGCTACTGTGATTCTGTCACACAGACTTCTTTTTCCCCTGCAGTATTGTTTTAAATGATGGGCAGTGTCTCTAAGCACAGTTCGTACTCGCTGTAATTCTATAATTTCTTAATTGCATGAAGTTCTTTTATCTGTTCCCTCTCACTCTCTTCTGCATCCAAGTATTGCGTTATGTTGCTTGTTTTCTGATGGGTTGCCATCGCTACCACGCGCAGAGACAGAGTGAATGAAAGAATGGGTGAAATGAGTAAGATGCTGAGCTCCGCTCTCACTAACTAGCGTGCATTTATGAATAAGTTTTTTGTTTTTGTTTGAGTCACCTGTCATCCACACAGAGCTGTGAGTTGTCCGCCTCGACCACCACAAGTCCGCTGCCTTCCCCATAGCGATAGGAGAAGCCGTAACGGCCATCAGGGTTCTGGTTCTCCTGTACGACCAGCAGCATGGCCGGACGCTGCGGTGACACCAGCTGGCTCAGGCTACCAATGGGTGAAGTCTTCTTTCGAGCCTTTTCCTGAAAGCAGAAAAAGAGCGTATTCCTTAAAGCAAGCAATCAGAGACGCTTAGAGACAGATGGTTGAGATTTGAAGGCATTTGCAGTGGAGTGATACAAATTTATTGCAAAATCTGCTGCGTCCCATGTCTCACTTACAGTAAATAGATACACAAACCCTGGGTAGTGAAGTCTCAGCCACAGCTGATTTTCAGTAAAGTTCGGAGAAGATTAATACCACTCAGTAATACTCATTTACAGACGGCCTCCGGCTTCATCATAGATTTTTACACAATAATGAGAGACCATTCTCAGTATAGGGTTCAGGTTTCCTCTTCTTCCTCTGTGTAGGTTGCCAGCTATACAAGGACTGACTTCCAAACCAGCTTCTGTGCCAGTGAAACATGAAGCTAACTCAGTTACCATTTTCTTAAGATAAACTTTTAACTTCATTATTTTTGCTTCTTAGAAAACAAACTAAAAAGATTACAGATATCATGCGTGGAAATCTACGGGAGATAAAGGCCCAGGCTGCGTCAAAGCCAGGAGACCACCAAGATGTAATGATTAGCTTGGGAAGCGATCGCACCACAAGTAGCTTGCAGGGATCCGAAATAACTTGTGAGTCCGACCGCTGAATTCCAATGTTCACTTATCCAGCCTCTTGGCATACTCCCCTCCCCCCCTGCATGGCGTGTGAATGCCTCGGAGCAATGGATGCCGCTTTTTCGGGGTCAGGGGTCAAAGCTAAGGCTTCTCTTTTCTTCAGACAAGTGGGCCAGACAGGATATATCCACGGAAACGCAGCCGAAGCCCCTCGAGGAACAGACTCTAATGCTCAGCGTTTTCCCTCTCGGCTTGCTCCGTTTTGGACGCACGCCAAGAACCCGAGGAATTTTCTCTTCATATTCTTCTTGTTTACCTACAAAAGCTGATCAAATCCCAGCCTACCTGAGCCAGACATGGAGCGCATCTCCTCCCCCACCAGACACATTAGCAGACCAAAAGCAGGCAATTAAAACACAAACAGAAAGATCACAAAGGTCATTCAGGTGGGAATCACTCACACGTCTGCTCGGCGACAAGAAATATTGCCGTATATTGCACGAATGCGACCGTTTAAAACATCATCTGTGAAAGAGTTTTGTTTCAAACAGAGTGAGAAAAGATTCTCTGACAGGCTAAATAACATAGACGCTAAGTGGTAGGGATTATATTTCATTTGAAATGATGGGTGTTAGTAGATCTACATTCAGTCCTGTCACTGTGAATGCAGATGCCCTGGCTGTGCACAGAGCAGAGGTCTTATGGGAAAGAAAATGAGGGATAGAGAATTGGGAGACACTGTGACCACACTGATAAACCGCAGCTTGTACGATGACTTTGTCTACATAAAAAGCGGAAACACGCTCTCCGTTTCCTAAACTCGTGCATGTCACTGCAAAAAAATAGAAATAAAAGGTGGGAGATTCTTCTCAAAACGTGACCCACGCTCAAAGCGCGACTCAAGCCTGGGTGAAACATAATTCTCCCAACTTCCCCACTTTAATAATCTCTCTGAAGTTTTTGAGTCGTCCAAGCTAAACTGCTTATTTAAAGTCATTTCCTCCATTTGTTGTCGTTCCCCTCCTCCCTTCGCTCCGCGCCTCTGTTTCTCTTTCGCCTTCCCCTTCGGCTGCTTTATTGATGCTCTCCAGTTGCAATAGATCCGGGAGATTAGACTGCCGATGATGAAATATTTCCTTATTGTCTGTAATGTGGGGCAGTCTACAAGACCAAACACAAGGCGGTCTGTTCCTTATTTGAACAGCAGCTCTATCAGTTCCCAGGCTGCTCCTCAGCTCTGACCTGTGTGTTAACTCTGATTAGGTCATATGATAAACATTAGCACTGCTGCTTTTCCCACAAACTCACCACCTAAAAAAGCGTTGCCTTGGGGTGGCAACGTGACACGGGGCACCTTTCAAAGCCGAAGCCGCGCGTGTCCTTTCATGGCACCTCGTTAGGGCTTCTCCAGCAGGATAAAAGGGCCACATTAAAAAAAAAAAGTGGGCACCTCGGGGGATAGATGGAGATACTTTTACACACGCTGGCCCGTTTCGCCACTGCTCTCTCCAAGTGGCTTTTGTCACACGCATTCCATTGTTGGTATGGTCACAGGCTCTCGAATGTCAGCGCTAAACATCATTTCTCAGGGAAAAAAAAAAGTGCATGTTCGTACAATGGATTTCACTCTGCATTGTGTACTCATTCTCACAGCGGGGATAAGTGCGCAGCTTAATGAAACAGAGCAGACACTGTGTGTCACTCAGAGGACCAAAGTTAAGAGTCTCAGATATTGGCCTTCCACTTCAAGAGGCCAAGACCACCCCTCCCAGTGTTGTCTAATTCAGTCACCAGTCGGATCAAATGTGTGAACGTCACTTGTTCTGCAGGTAAATTTATCCTCTAAGTCTGGCTTCGATTTTTAGGGCAAAGGTCAGGAACACGAGTTGCTCTGATATGGTTAGGGACAGCATGCGCAATGGCATGAAATTCCGAAAGCTCCAAATTTGACCTTTTTTTTCTCCAGTAGCATTTTATTATCCCATACCACGCATGCCTTTCTCAATATTTAGAGTTGTTTTGGTGCAAACATCAGCTTCTCATTGTTTATTTTTAGCAGTCAAAACATTCTCTGACTCAGACCATAGAGCTTTCCCACATATTGGTGTAGCTGCAGTTCACATGCTGTTGATTAAAGTCCTGCAGGCCTTCGCTGTGCCAGTTAAACTCTACAGCAGCACTAAAAATAAATCGATGAAAGGTTCGTTTTATCAGCAGTACCTTAACGTGGCTTTCTTGCAAAGCGCTGTGGAGCTGAGCCGCCTGTCGATTGAGATGCACGATGCAGATTTCCTCCTTAAACACGTGGCAATTCAGTTTCATCTTTTCCAAGAGATGAACCTCCAACTGCCTGAAAATCAAAGGAACCACATTTTGTGGAAGTTCAAGCTCACATACACAGAAACAAATGTGGTTCAGGTAAATGTCATTTACTATAGTCTCAACAGATCATTAATTACTACAACAGGTGCTTGTATTTCTAAATTGTACTTTGTCTCTGGAAGGTGAAAAAAGCTTCTTTTTTTTAAGTATTTGTGTCGTTAAATAAGTTGCTAATTAAAGGTGATGGTCCTCCTACTTCTGCTTGTCAGCTGTGAAGTTGGTAATGTTGTCTCTGAGGGTCTGCAGGTTCTGCCTCTTGTCTTGCAGTCTTCTGTTAACCAGCTCCAGTCTCTGCTTCAGCTCAGCAGAGCCGAGTGCATCGACATTCGTGTCTCCATCCATGCTCTTCAACTCTGAGCAAAAAGCTACTAGGCCATGATGGAGCTGTTGGACCTTTTGGGGACGTAAAGATCAACCAGATCATGATGTTTAATATTAATTTAGTACAATCATTTTAGTGTTGCACATTTTTTAAACAGAGATATGGACCTGACAGATGACATTTTGTAGTGAGGCCACTTGTTGGTTTAATTCCCTGATCCGCTCTTCTTTAGCCAGCTGTTTGCCTCGGATGTTATGATTTTCATCAGGGCTGTTCTCCTCTGGACTGTCTTGGGATGCAGAAGCAGTCGGTTTGTCCTACAATTTAAAAAAAAAAAAAAATCATACAGAAAGCTTTGTTTTGGTGTTTTTGAGTTTTATGCTGGACTGTTTAATATGATTGTTTTTAATCTACCCTTTTAACCAAGTGCAGTTCCAGCTGACTGCTTGCTGCTGCTGCTGCAGATGATGATGATGATGGAAGTAGAGTCCCAATCTGTTGATCTGGTGAGAGCTCCTCCGGCGAACCTTCAAATTAAATCATATATTTAACACGTTTACTGCGTAAACAGTATGGCTTAGTGTTTTTGAATAACGCTCAGTGAACCTTGCTTGTCTTTTAGTGTGAAGAGACTCTTGTCTTCTGTCATTCCCAGCATCTTGATGCACGAGTCCATAATCTTTCCCACTGTTGTTTCCTTCGGGGTTCTGAGATGAACTATTCGCTCTGACGCTGAAACACAAAAGTAAATCACAGGTAAAGATGACTCCTGTTTCATCCTCAGTGTCTGTTGCCTATGGAAACATAATTGAATATTTAACATTCACATCCATTCATTGCAAAGAGTGCAGACACTGAAGATCTTAGCAAACTGAGCTTTAGTACTCACCGTTGATAGTAATCTCTATTAGTTGAGCACTCCTCTGCACTGCGTTGTTTAGGCTGTTGTTTCTGTAGCAGAATTGGATTACCAGGTTAAAACGATGGATTGGTTTTGTGTTTGTTTTGCTACTTTTTTTAAATTTCTGGAATTCGCATTACATGAGTGGCTTCACCTCAGCTTGAAGGAACGCCGATTTGTATTCAAACAGCTCACATGAGGAGAAGACTTGGACTTAGTCATTGACACCAGCGTTGCAGTGAATGTCTCCACATCACCAGGCCCCAATGATTCTGTTTAAAAAGGAAAACATCAATAAATTACATTGTTACATTGTTCATTGCATGAATTATTATTTGACATAGTTTGACATAGTAACTATACCGAGCAATGAGTCGATTCTCTGAGTCACCGTGCTGGGAGGGTGAAGCTCATTATAAATGGCCGACAGTAACTTCTCCCTGTCCTCCACTGTGCTAATGTGGAGGGTGTCCAGAGTGTTCACATCTACAGACGCCATGTCTGCACCACACAGATTTGCCTCTGCAACAAGCATTTATTCATGTATCAGCTGATTTTAACAGCCATCAATAAACTGTAAACGGCAACAATCAAGACCTGAAAATCAAGTATTGTTAAGACATGTAATATTCAAAATGCAATCAAAACACATGCATCATATTTTAGAGGGCAGATACTATGGATTAGTAGGCTGTTTGATTTAATCGACAGGACTTTCTTGAAGACGTTCCTCTTTTTATGCATTAGACACTGACATGTTTCAGTTTTAAGAGGTTTAATACTCTTATATCCTCATCTATTTTTCCATCTCAATTTAATAGCATTCATTAATTACAGTTTATTCCATCTACACTAAAAAGAAACCAATATGCATTGTCAGTAGATGGTGTTTTACCTTTGATGAGAGGGATACACTTTTGTAGTCCAGTACTGGTAAACCACTGGCACACCTCTTCAGTGTTCAGATCCCTGAAAGATTTGGCCACTTGCCTCTCTACATCCTGGGGAGAAGGAGAGGCTAGACAGCTGCTAACTTGTACCAGATTATACAAAGGCGTGGAGCAAGTGTGTGAAAACACACCACACAAGTATATACACTCAAAAAAAATGACTCTTTGCCCTCATAAACAGGAAGCAGTAATTTTAAGTAAAGTGCAACTGAAGTACATCAAAGCAAAGGTTTATTTATTCAAATGGTTAAATATTAAGAAAAAAAACCCATGCTTGATTCCATTACATTTAACGATTTACACTGTACCTATGTAACAAATTCCATGGGAAATTTACGTGTAATCAAATTACTTAAAGTCAGCATTTTGGAAATTCATATTTTTTGAGTGTATAGCATTACACCATACACACAAGCATCTATAAATCATTGGTTATGAGTTTTGGCATACAGCTGTGTACTAAAAAAATGTGTATATCTCTGTGTATTTCAACTAGAATGGTGAATTATCCAAAATGAAATCATATTTTTGTATTATTTCATATTAAATCTCCCTGATATAAGTCTTGCACAAATCTGCTTTCCAGCAAGTTGCATAAATTTTGTAATAATTTTCACGCACTACTCTTTAGCAACTCCTTGCTGTAGGAGTTTTATTATTTTACCTTCTTCTTTGGAAAAATAGTTTTTCCCAAAAAATGTTGACTGTTGGGGTGTGTACTTGGGTGTGTACTGAAAGCATAACTTTCGGCTTTATTTTGATATTATCTGACTAAAGCATGCGCTGCCCACACATATGGGCTTCTTGCTATGCTGCAAGTTCACATAAACAGCCATTACTGTGTGAAATAATTTTGCAAGGATGGCTGCGTTATTGGTAGTATGACTCCTCTGATATCATCTAAGTGCTGCTGCAGCTGTGTTTTGGCTCATTCGTTTTCGCTTCAGTCAGTTCTTTGCCATGAGGAGCCATGATGCATCAGGCACAGCTCAGGCCAAAACTTAACACTCTGCAATACTTTTACGTTCTTTTGTAATCTTGTTCGTGCAGTTACCACTTCTACTGAATTGCAGTCGTACCGATCTCATCTGTTTGTTGTTGTTCTTGTTGTTGTTTTTTATTTGCACAGATCAGATCACTTTATTTTAACTTCCTAAAACGATCTGATTACTGTTTGAGTAGTTGTTCTGTACTGTTTTGGGGATTTTGGGGGGTCTTTTTTCAGTCCAAACAGTAGTAGCGGTTGGAAAATCCTGAGAGCAGGAAATGACGCACAAAGACGATTATGACTCAAACATCTGGATGCAAAAAAAACCAAAAAAAAAAACCCCAACAACAAGTCAGTAGGTGGTAAAACATCAAGACATAACAATGAAATTCCAGACGTGTATTCATCTGAATCACAGCTTTAATGGAAATTAGTATGACTACGTTGGATATAAGGGTTTGGACATATTACACCAAAAAGACATATTTGTGTGTTTAACTGTAAACATGTTTTTTGTCAAAGACAATGAAATGTTTAGTTAAGTGGGGACGCTAAACACAGGTTTTTGTGCAATTGTTCCCTTAGTCAGATTTTTTGTCTTTTTTTTGTTTTGTTTATGACATTCCTGGAAGAAAAACCTACAATGTCCCCTTCAAGGAAAGCTTTACAGAGTAACTATGATTAAATATATGAAGTCTGCCTCTTCTGTGGGATTTCCCCATTATGTTGCATGACACAGCAAAAACAACATATTAAACCATGCAAATAATCCATAGCATCAGCACTTTTATGGCGCTCCAGCGTGAGATGTGGCTGCTTAAGATACAAGTTGCACAATTGCTTAAATGACTGTTAATGCCTGGAGATAGCATATACCGGACGTGAGTGATTGGCCTTGAAAAAAAATTGTGCTTTCTTGTGTTTCGGCTAACACGTAGATTGCTAAGGATACAAGCAATCTTGCTTGGCAAATCCTGGACACAAAGACTAAAATCCTGAGACTATTTGTTGAGTCATTGCTTTGACAGATCAAGGGAGCTGGGAAATATAAACAGAGTATATTCTATAATTGCAGCAGCTCTGGGCTGTGTGCTGATGCCACCCTGAAGGCTCGGCTTTGATGACTTACAGTACCTTCTCGGAAAAGTTTCCATTCTGATCCTTAGAATGAGGCATATAGGATGCTGTGCAAAATACACAAAGAAAAACAGATGAGCTTCTTGTAAGGTTGTGTTTCTAATTAGTTGGAATAGTAGTATTATGTAGTAACAAAGCTTGCTTGGCCATATTATATTACCAGAATCACCGACAGTTATTCGTCGCTGTCTTGGCGACCCCTCCTCTTCATGGCGTCGATCTGTGGTCTGAGTTAAACCGTGGAAAGTGGCACTCCTAGTCAGCCTGTCCTCGAGACTGCACGAACGAGTTATCGGCCTCTGTCAAGGAAAAAGCAGATTCACTTTACAGACAGTCTGTAATTTTGACTTCATACAGAGCATCTCTTGAGCAAAGGTCAGATATCTTAAAGTAGATGCTCTGTATATTACCTGAGTCTCGTTAAGCAAAGATGGAGACTATAGACTACAGAGTATGAAGCAATCATGAAAAAAAAAACCTTTGGTTGATAGCCTTACCTTTTGGTGAGCAAATGTAGCCATCATGGTGGTGTGAGGAAGCGGGCAAAGTTCATGCTTGAGAATATCTGAGAAACTTGAGTCTCTGTTGGTCAGGTCATCTGCAAAGAAAAAGTCAGTCAATAAATGCAAAATTCATTATTAGAGCTGTGTTGGGTTTTTTTTAAAAAGAAGAGGAAGAAGCAATTCAATCAAGTCCTTTTTCTTCCTTTTAAGCTAGTGTGTCCTTTTTCTGGCGCCCAGGTCACCAGGTTTACTTGCAGTGCTGATACTGGACGCAGCTAGATGGAGTTGCTGGGCAACACAGTAAAGTCTGTCTGGTTGATGACATGTTTCTCTGACAGCCCACGTTCTTTCCCACAGAAAGCGCATATTCTTCTATTTTCCAAATGTCACTTGGTCAGCGAGCAGATATGTTTATTATCTGCTATCATAACAAGCAAGATGAATGAGGCTGAGAATATGACATCAAAGCCTGGCTTTTTCAGGCAGCACAGGGCAGTGATGGGATTGTGACTACTCTGACTTAACTATATGTTTTGAGACTAAAGTGTCAGGACCCCTCTGAGAACTCAAAAACAGTAGTCTGTTCAAATAGATTACAACAACACAAAAATCTTTAACGCGTGTTTTCCATTTCAGGGGCCTGTCTCTGAAAGGCTGGTTTGACATGGATTGGGGTTCAGATGGAGTCAGAATCAGATAAGACAGCGTAATTGGTTTATGCGTGTCAGCAGTGGAATCTTGTCTGAGAGCTGGAGAGACAGTGGAGTGCATAGAGGGGGGGCAGCGAGCTGGCACTCTCTTCATCACCTGGCTGCTCTTGAGTCACTCTGGGAAGGATCAAAAGTCTAGTCTGCTGCAAAGCAGATTCAGAACACTCAGTGCAAAACACAACCGCCTTGACTTGAACAGCCACCTAAGGAAAGTGATGAATCTTGGCTTAATGCGAAGACATGTAGGAGCACCATCCTCTAGCCGACCTCAGACATGACAGTGTGTCTTTGAAGTGCTGAGAAAATCGCTTCCAGTCTGAATCCATGACTTCTTTTCACCATGAATGGCAGAATGGGCACAAGATGGAGATGTGTCTGAGAATGGTAATGGAGGGTAGCTGTACCCCTCAATGCCAACCAAAACAAAGGACAGGGAATTTGGTGCAGGCTGAGGGACCCGGCCTGATGTTGCCTTAAAAGGGTGAAAACTCCAACAATGGAACGATGAACTTCATTCCTAGTCTGAGTCGACTCCATCGGGACACGTCAAAACACAAATAAGATGTCTTACCCTTGACTGGTTGGCACAGACAAACACATTGCATCCTTGCACCCACACCTGCAGACACACTAAACGCTCCAAGTTTGTGCGTGACAGAGTTTGGCAACTGTTTAAACACACACACAGGGTCAGTGACAAAGCAAAGCTTGAGATTCAGAACTTTTCAGCACATTTATGTAATGGATAGGCAAAAGCGATGCTTATCGTTTCCAGTGTTATTGTCCAGCTCTGGTTTGAAAAGAGAGTCATCTCTTTGAGAGAGGGAGGAGAGCATGCTGAGTCACAGGAACCCAAAACCTGGGAACGGCTTGACCAGTTACACACTGGGAATACACACACAATGGCAAAAAAGAGATTCCAACAAAGGGGAACTTCTGCAACTCCCCAAGGAGGCTTTCGAGGTACTGTAACTGTGTCAAATAATGCCTGCAATTTTAATGTGAACAGGGAGCTAAGATCAAAACCATGAGGCAGCGCAGGAGCTTTAATGGTTGGATGAAGAGAATCATCATCTGGTGTCATTTACCTCACACCTAAGTTTTTTTTCCTAAAGCTTACAAAAAAGGTTTAAACACAACCACTTGCAAGTTCATGTCATCAAAACTCACCCAAGTTGTGCTCAGTAAATGGTAACAGATTTATTCCAGTGTTGAAGCTCCCTGTGATAGAGAAGGAAACAACAACTTAAATCTGCTTGAAATAAAACACGATAAAGGAAACACATACTTTTCTTTTGTTCTTTCTTTCTCTTTTGCCTCATTGCCAACTTTATATTTAGCTGTGCTCTATTTAGCCGTGTCAGCTCGTTACGTTGCAGGATGGAGCGGATGCAGAGCATGAGGCCGCTGATGCAACTCTGACATTTATTATTTGCATCTGTGCCTTTCCTTCTGTGATGCATCAAATGTGTTTCGTGAGATCAGTCTGCAGTGCATTGAAAGTCTTACCTGGACAGAGTTTAATGCAAAAACACGAGATATTTTGACTTTGGAGTATGCAACATGGAAACAGGACTGCTTTGGAGTTTTTGAAGGGACACTATTCAAATCTAAGCTAGGTGGTCTCAGTGTTTTGGCCAGGCTGGGCTGTGCTACCTCACCACTGAAAACCAAAGAAAAAAAAAATCCTTTGATATTTATCTTCTCATCCAACTAGCTCCTGGCAGAAAAGGACTAACTGTAGTGTACATTTAAATAAAACTGTTAGACTCACTTTTTTCCTGAAGCTCAGGGAGAGGAGCCACCTGGAAGGTGGTTCGGAAGAGCTCACCCTTAGTTTTCTCTTTATTTTTAATTGACACAGCCTCTCTTTGTTCTCCAAGCTCATCCCTAAGGCCCCTCTCAGGTTCGACTTCACTATTGGCCGTACTCTCAGCCAGTACACATACTTTTTTTGGCTGCTCAGTCTCCACACTCTTTGTTTTATCCTCGTCCTGGTCACAAGCAGCAACGCTTCCATCAATGCCAGTTGTGTGTGTCACACTTTCCTCTGAATTCATTTCAAAGAATTTATCAATCTCTGCAAAGTCAGAGGGCGTAGGTGGAATCAGATTGATGACAGGTGGTGTCAAAAAGTTTTCAGGATCCAACTTGCTTCCAGACAACACTTCATCCTCTTGCTCATCATCTTCTCCATTGCTAGAAGTGACTGCTGCTTCAGCCTGGGGCTGTACAGAGAGTGAAGACAGAGGCTTCAGCCTTTTCTTTTTCAGAGCTCTTGAGCAGGCATACACAGAGCTTGCTGAGCGAGACATGCTGTTCCTCGGGGTCAGAGAGTCCTCATCAAACAGGCTGAAGTTAGTGTTAACTATTCCCAGATCCTCCACTGTAATCTGGATAGTCTCCTTCTCACCTGATCCCCGTTGATCCGAGTGTGCATGCAGAGGGGCCCCATTAATCTTTTTCTCCTGCTTCCTCAGAGGATCCTTTTCACCACGCAAACACGAGCAACAGAACAGCCTGCCCGAAAAACATTGAGGGCTCTTTCTCCACGGGCACCTCCGAGCTCGTTGTTTTACTGCATTTGCTTTTGCCATGCCTGTGACTGGCTGCTGATTATACTACTAAGCACACTTATTTCACAATAACCAGCTCAGCTTCTGTGGACTGAAATAAGACAAGAAACCGTCCCGTCCTTTGGCATAAAATGCTGCTGTGTGATAAAAGCCATAGTGCCTGCGCTCAGCACAAACACCCGGCTACAACATATGTTGCTTAGCCACCAATTCATGCTCCTCAGCTTAGGTGAACACTTGAAATGAATGCTTGCCTTAATCAGCATGCTTTGATATGATAAGCAGTTCAGATACACTCTTGTTTCAGAGGATCTCGGTATTACAGCGGTGCTCGTCACAGCCTCGTAACCTCCAGTGGTGCCTGGCACCGTGATCTTGATACCTGATACATCAGATCGGATCTTGGGGCAGTTTTGTCATGTTTAGAGCAGTATATAGGGGTGTTAGTGAAACATATCAAAGTAATATCCACATTGGCCATGACCCAAGGTGATGAGATGATAACTTTTTTTTTAATGGTTTAGTATGTCTTTAAATATGTTGTAAATGTATGTGTACATATATGCATGTGTATATATATATGTGTGTGTGTGTCTAGTGCAGATTGTTATATTAATATGAGGCAGTGTTCAGTTTCTCTGGAGGTCATCAGTCAGCGTGTTTGGACACAGGTGAGAATATGGGCTTGCGGATGCTTGGCTCATACAACCCGTATGGCATCGGATGACATTTCCTTCATTCCACAGGCCCAGTCCTGTTCTTTGCTACTTGATAAATCATCCAGCATCAGCTTAAAACCATTTTACCACACCACCCACATCGAAGGCTTGTATGAAAAGATGATATGCGTGCTTTTTTTCTCACGCCCATACAGTGACGGTAGAGTGATGGGAATAATTACTCCTCCCTGAGTACCCACCTCTCACCTTTCCTGGAGCGAAAGGAAGCCACTGCTGTTTGTTTCTTTGACGCTGTTTCTGTTTGCGTCTCACCTTTCAAGTTTCAAGGTGTTTATTCACCTGCAATTAATGAAATCCCAGTTTAATATTCTTTTTTTTTTATCTGTGATAAAATTAATTGTATCGGCCATATTCTAATAACAGGTTCAACCCAGTAAAGCTCCAATAAAACTGGATTTTTGCTTTTGGTAACATTCCAGAAATTTTTTTTTTTTTAACATAAATAACAGAAGTTTGAAATGATTTCAGTGTGAAGCCAGTTGACTATTGATAGGCTTAGCGCTAAGTTGAAGACTCTTTGTTGCTTTCTGGTGCTTTTATATTGCATCACTCAAAGACCCGCATGGTAGTTTCTACTGGAAGAAAGGTAATCTAAAATAAGCAGCCTGACTTTTGCTCTTAGCTGCAGATGAGAACGTATATGGTTAGTTTTCCTCAGACATGAATATGACAGCAAAGCTACACAGCACAGAACCAAGCTGAGAGCTACTGGCTCTATAGACATTAGACAAAATGACATACTTTCCACTGTTTTGGGGGTTAAAGATTTACGAGAAAATAATCTAAAATCAATATAAAATGGCACAAGTTGGTGTGCATCATCAGAAATATGCAGTGCTTTTATGAGGGGAACTAGAAAATAGGGTCTCTGACATAATCACTATCAATACTTCAAGCCCAACAAAGGGGGGCAGTGGAGAGCAGATGCACAACGCTGACAGGACAGAAAACAGAGCCCACCACTTCTTAGAAAGGACCTCCACTGGCATTCACAAGTCTGGATAAAGTTAAACCACACAAGTGCTTTTCATTCGCAGCCTAGTGCGGCTGGCTTTCATGATATCTTGATCTGGTATTTGCAAGAATATCAAGTTTTGTCATAATCCTTTTTTACATGTTGTTTGAATATACCTAAGCAGTAGGGGAACGAAAAGATATATGTAGGATTAATGTTCCGTCTCCTTTATATGGGTTGTGTTTGAAATTAGCTGAAAATCTGCGACCTTACTAGCAGATTTATGAAAAATGAGTTCCTTATGATGAATGCTGAGAGACAGTGTAAGTGACAGAGCAGACAAAGATGAATGCTTTACAGCTGCTACAGCCTGGGGCAAAAAAGTGGGAGAGATGACTGAGACAAATATGGAAACCCAACAGTCTGCACTCCCTGAGTGATGATATAAATTCCGAGCTACTCTAATTATTTGTCTTTAACTTTGCCTCTTGGGTTTGTTTGACGTTTTCCTTACATTCATAAAGTTACATCACTTAGTCCTCATCGCTCTCTGTGAGTTAGCCTACATGTCCAGACATAGGTCTGTGAGCATCTGAGCATGCTCTGAGTGTTTTTTTACTGGCCTCGCAACCAGAGAGTGGTAAACTCTGGGCATCCCCGAGACAACCGTGAAGCCAACATCAACACTAGCCCGCAGCACTGGGAGGGCGCCTCTCTAAAACGCCCTCACCTCTTGCTCGGCTGCGTTTCTGTGAAACATGTTGAACATTTCCTGTGACAGTCATGTTTCCATACACGTAGGCTCTGTGTCCATACTGTGAACATGACCCTGTTTGGTCATACAGAGCACTCACACGCACAAAAAAAAAGGAAAGTGAAAGAGTATTTTTCGTGACTCTTTTTCAAAGAAAAGGAGAACGGTTCAACCGGTCCATAATTGCATTTACTAAACAAGACGGCAGTGTGAGTCACTTTCCAGGGGCAAAGAATGTCACATCTTCCTGTAAAATCAGGATGAACGGAGTGAGTTATTTCATCAGAATAACATCCACTGAGCTGTCTTTATATTGTGAAGGATGCTGAGTGGCCACACAGAGGCCAAACAATGTGGCGGCATTCAGGAACCATCGATGTTGTGGGGGAGGTCTACAAAAATAATCCTATTCATTCAAGGATGTTGAGTTCCTAAATCAACACATTGCAAACTCTGAGCCTTTTCGCCATCGTGTTTCTCTTCAGCAGATGCATCCATTTTGCTTACGTAAACCATCCTGTTTGTGCTCGCCACCACCAAACCTCTTGGAAGTCATACAGAGTGAGCCAAATATTTGCAGTTTCCCCTGTGGCTGATACCTAATAGCATGAGAAAAGAAGTTCAGACGGGGGAAGAAAAGGGCAGTGACCTTGAGAACTTCTGGGCTGAACTTTCCCCTCCATTCCCCCCTCCTCGCCAACCAGCGCTCCTCTCTCTAATCAATTACCGTTGGCAGTCAGGAGACCACCAGTGATTAGCAACAGCAAGGCAGACGTGGTTTGGCGGGGTGGGGGGAGTGGATTGCGGGATGTGTGAGGCTGGGAGGGTGGCATGTGGGGGTGGGTGGAGGGGGGAAGAGAAAAAACTTCCTCCGAGCAGCTTTGATCAAAATGCTGCCTCAAATAAAGCGTAATGCATACCCCCCGGTTTAAATGATGCTTGAAGAGCTTTATTTATCCACGAGAATGAAAGATGACATCCTTTTGTGTCCCGTGTCTTAGTCAGTTGCACGTGAGCAGACGGTTGTAGATCCCCGATATTGTTTGCACTCCCATCCACTCAGCTGAGACTGACAGACCCAAGACAACAACAGAGAAACACCACATGTAAACACATATCTTTTTCTTTTCAGTTGTTCAGGTCTTTGAAGCAGGAGGGAAATAATTTACAGGCTCCTTTTTTTTTATGAGAATCTGCGCCGTTCCCACGCCCAGTGTGGCAGGAAAGCTTAACAAAATCATTTGTCTTAGATTGGCTGATTGGCTGTCTGGAATCTGAGTGTGTCTTTGACGGTGATTGAAGTTTAATTTGATGAGAGGAACTCTCCCACCACACCCACCCACAACTGCCCTCCTCACACTTTTACTCATTTGCTCTCGATTTCTCACTTTAATCCTGCCGTGTCTCCCCTGTGCATTTATAGGTTTATCCATTTTTATAGGGCGAAGGTAAGGCTGAAGGAGAAAAACTGGCTCACACGGCTGTAAACTGCAAAAATGTTTGTGTCATTAATCTTCCCTCGTGGGGTAAAACAGTGAGAGAGCGTTTATGTGTCAGGAGTAGGGGTGGATGAGAGATATAAACAGAGAAAGATTAAATAGGGAAAGATAAGAAAGGGAAAAAAAAGGGATAAAAGATAGAAGACGTGAGCAGGAGAATCGGGGTTGTAACTCAGCAGATTGCAGCGGTCTCACACAAACCTGCTTTACACGATGTGGCTTCCTCTGGAGCTCTCTGCGGCCAACCTCTTTCTCCAACTCTCCCTGCACACAATTAATGGCATTATGAGCAGTACTGGAAAGCTCAGCTAAACAGTTGTGTCTCTGATTTTCCCATGGGAACACCATTTTGTGTTGAAGCCAAGCTCTCTGAAGCAATACAGTTATCTCTTTTCACTGATGTGGTCCGGCGGGAGCTACGCTGTCGAGATAGCGCGGAGGAAATAAAGCAAGAAATAAAATTAAGCTTTATCTGTAAGTTCAGATTGAGATACATCGCCGGGGCAGTGCAGTCTGGACTCTGACTGGCAGTTCTGGAATCTGGTCCTTTTCATTGTATGCTGTGCTGACTTTGTCTCTGTCATGAGATGTTTTTCACAGCCGGACAAGTATGGTCACTGTGATGTCCCCAGCCAGAGCATCTGAGCCTCATCAGGCAGGCATTTCAAAGCTGCTGTCATGGGTATTTAGAAAGGGGCAGGCTGAGGACAAAGGCCCACTATTGGCAACTTGTCCATTTGTTCTCCCTTTGAGGTTTCCTAACGACGTCTCTGCCCTCATAGAAATCACTGCAAATTAATTTTAACACTCAGTGAAAAGACAGATTAGTGCCGAGATGGTGGCACAAAGGGTGTTAAAGACGACGAGGGGCGTGCTGGACCACAGGCCAGGCGAGGGACATGTTACCCACAGCTGCCAGCGTTGACCTATTTTCACCAAACCAGCTTAAAGATTTTTTAGCATCCTCTATTGTGCAAAGACCTTGCAAAGCACACGCTGAAGTCTTATCTGCACGACCCCCTTCGGGCACTGTGCCCTTCGATGGCTCTCGTAAAGCCACTGATGGGGGTTTTAATTAAGTGTGGCAGGTGATTAGATGGTCCATATTTATCTGGAGGGCGAGGGGCAGATGTTGCAAGAGACGACCACGGGGTGAAATAGCTTCATAAAGAATACAAACAAGAGCCCGAACTATTGTGGTGGAGACTTTAGTCACAGACACGACCCTCGCTCTTAAACCAAGAGAGAGAAGTGATTTCAGATTCAATTATCTTCTTTGCAGGAGGAAATGGTGAGCAGATGGCAACAATAGTCACGGGCCTCAGCCCGATCAGCGCTGTTCGTGGACGTCTTTTCTTTGCAACAAATTTACCGTGGCCTCATGAGGTTTTCATTGAAGTGTTAGCACTAGGAGGTGAAGCTTGCCAACAGGTCAATGGCATTATAGATATGACAGAGGTCCGAAGCTTCAGAATAATTTTAAATAACCCTTTCAGACACCGTGTGCGTTTTCTATGAAAGATTGGCTTTGTCTGTTCGCGTTTTGTTAGCCTGATCTTTTTTTTTTTTCGGAGGGGGGACAAATTGTCAGCATGTGGTCGAGTGAGAAGAGTTATCCTTCTTAATGCTATGAGTCATCGAAAATAATATAAATTCTAGTTAGCCAAGGATTTGTTATTGGTTTTGACTGAGTTGACAAATTTATAGTTTATATAGTTCATGGGAGAAAGTTCTGAACAAAAAGGCTTGAAGGCAAGTCTGAATTTGTCTGCTGACTTAAGCTATCGGAGCAGATTAAGAAAGATATTTGAATGCTGATCAAGTTTTTTTTCACACAGATAAATTTGCTCCTTTTAAGGACACATAAATCAGATCTTTTTCTTTCTTTTTTTTTTCGAAAGGCACTGACCCCTCTGAGAGAGCTACAGGCGAAACTTCTAATTAAATTCATGTCATGGATGAATGAGACGGGAATGTGTTTACTTTTTGGAAATAGCCGTGAATAAAACAAATGGGACCAAAGAGAAATCCTGCAACATTTAAAGACTAACAAAGAGTAAAGAAAGATTCAGTGAGCTCTAACAGACAAGTTATGTGAAAGGCCGTAAAGTGCGTTACAAGTGTGTATACACCACACTATTATACTGTGTGTAGTCGTACTGTATACTGCAGGCAGAAGTATATCTGTCTTTGGTTTGTCTTAACAAGGGGTGAAATATAAACAGCAGCCAGTTTTCAGTGTAATTCTTATTGTGTATTATTATAATTGTTATTGTCTACATGTTTTCATTTTTTTTGCCGTATGCCCATAGATAGTTCCAGTTAATGAAAAAAGCTCCATTACTTGCAAGTCTCTGCTCTGTTTCATCTTGCATAGGTGTCTGGGAGGGTGTGGTTCACATCAGTACAAGAGAACAGTAATTTGAGTTTAAGGTCAAAATTGAACTATAGGCGGATTTTTCTATATGTATGTTTTGCTCGGAGCAAATCTAAAAACAAATGCAGCCTGTCATGGAAGACTTTTGAGCTTGTTTATCCACTTTACTGTGCCAACCTGTCTGATTAGTACAGCATGTCCTATGCTACAAAGAATCAATAAAGCATGTGCTGTTACATCTGATATGTTATTTTCCCTTCTCTGGCACATTTCCCTTCAGGACTTGTAGTCCGTTCGTCATGTTTTTAACTTGTTTTTTTTATTGCGTGTGTGCATGTGGGTGCATATTTAGCTGGATATATCTCAGGCTGAGGAGAAGCCCACTGAACACTGGAAAACAAACAAAAGACTGCACAAAATCTTTGTCCAAGATGTTAAGGAAGCAAAGGGAAGGGCACTTGAACACTTTTTTTTCTATGTCAGTCTAACAAAAAAGCTACAAAAGCGCCACAAAGGCCGCCTTTGAGAGCACAATATTAGAATTAATGACTTTAGCAAAACCCTGGAAACACAATGAGATCAAATGTACTGTGTACGTATAAATCACCTATGGCAGGCACCCCGTGTTCACGCACATTTGCCAACATTTGAGGAAGCAGGGCTGTGATCGTTTTAGTCTTCATGGACTGAAGTGACGACAGAAACCTGAACCTTCGGCTGAATTAAAGAGGAGGCAGCACAATAGTTGCTCATTTCCTGCTTCCTGCTTTTCAAATGACCACAAGCGCACTCAACTTGTTGCGGTGATCAGAATTTACATGACACATGGTAGCTTTTTTTCTTCAGAACTCGCAGCGTCCTATTATCAAAAATGTTATTTATGTCATCCTTGCACAGGAAATGACATGTTGGAAAATTACATGTGTGGTGGTTTATCTGCTATAAAAAAACTGTTTAGAGGGGAAAAAACTATCATTTGTCTCAGATATCAACAAGATGCATACGTTTGTCGTTTCCACTACATGTACCGTGTCTATTGTTCAGTCACCTGGCATGCTCTGGAAACTTGGATCAATTTGGTGTCAGTGCTCTACGCTGCCACTCGTATAAGCTCCTCGGGTGTGAGAGGGGAGTATTTGTGTTCTTTTCCTCCTGTGCTGAAGGTCCTCTCAGGAGGCCATTAATGCTGAATGTCTAGTCATGCTAGACAGCAGCAGGCTGTTTTAGTACTCGGGTTGCTGAAGGTTGCTCTTTCACCTTGACCCTAGTGAAACAGGAGACCATGAATGCTGCCTTCCTCTGTTTCTTCAGATAGCAATATCAGGTTGGTTTTTTTTTACGTGCTATATTCTTTACATTTTCGAGTGTATGTTGTTCTGTGGCTCCTTTTCTGTCTTTTTCTCTCTAGGTCCCCTTGTTGTTACTGAATGGAATAAAGGATTAAGCCTCTGGCCTCTTATATTCAACTGTTTGTTGTTTCAGCAATATTGCTGCTGGGAACATGTGCTTATTGCCTCCAACCTTTTTTTCTATGACAAGCAGAACACATTTCTAGCTATACAGCAACTAGTTTTTCACCAGACTTGCGGTAGAGCTTTAAGAGAAATGCTGACATCAGCAGTGTGAAACAGGGTCTTGACAGCCAGGCTCAACGTCTCCCTAAGGCTGTTGGAGCACAGGAAGCTAAAATCCATACAACTTTAGCAAATAGCAGACCGCTGTGGCTCTGAAATAGACAGCAGATCAGATTGAGGGTCAGCTGGTAGGTCAAAAGAATGGAACAGGCCCATGGTGTCAGTCTGATTAGGACTTATATTCTTTCACAAAACCACATCCACGGCTCCGCCTCGCCTCATTCCGGGGCCTGGGTCGAATGCCGGGGAATCTGATGGCAGACAGGAAGTCCTTATTGTACTAGCGCAGAGATCCCGGAGCCAGA